AGATCCTGGGAGGAACTGGACTCAATGACTCACTTTGCCGATGGGGCCCAGCTCTTCCCTGTTCCCCAGGTGCCCACGCCCTGCTGCGAATGCAAACTGACCTTCTTCCAGAACTTAAAGCGTTAGGTCCACGATGATCTCTGTTTTGAGAATGAGGCCATTAGGGACCCAGACAACAAGGAGGCTCAGGGCACACCAGGCCAGCAGGACTCAGTGGAGCTACTCAGCTTTCTATGGATGTTTCTGCATTGATTCTTAAATTATTGAAATAAGTACAACTAAAAACCCTGGGCATTGAGTATACAAACATAAGAGAACTCTGAAAAGTGGAGAGGAGAAGGCAGACATGCTGGGGACCCTGGCACCTGAGGGATGACACATCAGTGACTTGCTTGAGTTTTCTTCTTGGCCTCATGGATCCCAGACTTGGAGCAAGAGAAGCCGGCAACCCAGACACACCCATAGGCACAGGCAGAGCAAAAAGTCCCCAACGAGTGCCTGCCCTCTGTAGTCGAAGAACCAGGAAAGGGGCAGCCTCTCAAGATAGAAAACTCTTAGACAGTAACTCCTCTACTTGAGGCAAACACTCTAGAAAAACCTGGCTCCACTCCACTTATGCCGGTAAGGACCAAGTGAGGGGCCGAGAGTCCACCCTTGCCAGGCTGGGACGAGGCACCCGAACCCCTCCAGGGTGGTGTCAGGGAGGCTCCGTTGGGGGTTGAGAGTCATCATTGTGGGGTCCTGAGCACCCCTCCCTCTGTGTCAGGGAAGGCCACGTGGAGAGAGGCAGAGAGGCACCCTTCCCCTCCTCGCCAGGGAGGTGTCAGTGTGCGGAGTCAGAACCCTCACCCACGCCCAGCAGTAAAGAGCACCCACCTTGGGGCATCAAAGAAGACCCAGTGTGGAACCTGGCTTCTACCCCCACCCCACAGTAACGAGGCTGCACGGCCCTTTCTACTACGGGACCGAAATCACAGGACGCCAGCTAAAACAGAAGGTTTGATTAAGTCCAGAGTCTCGTAGTGTAATACCCAAGATATCCAGGTTTCAGCCAAATATCTATCATACCAGCACCCCAGAAGACCTCAACTGAATGAAAAAAAGACTACGTGTCAACACTGAAATCACAGAAATGTTTGAATTATCTGACAAAGATCTTAAAGCAGGCAGCCCAAAAATGCTTCAAAGAGGAACTAGGAACACACTTGACACAAATGAAAAAAATAGGTCTCGGCAAAAAAATAGAAGATAAAACAAAGAACCAAGTGAAAACTTTAGAGTTAAATTAAAAACTCAGTGGATGGACTCAATGGCAGAAGGAGGAGACAAAGGGAAGAACCATCGTGCTGGAAGATAGTGGAAGATAGAACAATAGAAATGATCTAGTCTGAGCAACAGCGAGAAAAGTAGACTGAAAAGAGTGAACGCAGCTTCATGGACCTGGGGGACCATAACAGGAAATCTAACGTATGTGTCATCAGAGTTCAGGAGGTAGAGGGAAAAAAAGTGTGGCTGAAAATGACCCCAAAAATAGTGGCTGAAAATGTCTCATGCATTGCTGGTGGGAATGTAAAATGGTACAGCCTTTCTGAAAAACAGTTTGACAGTTTCTTTAAAAATTAAATGTGCAACGACCCTACGACCCAGCAATGGTGCTCACAGGCATTTATCCCAGAGAAATGAAAACTGTGTCCACACAAAAACCTGTAAACAAATGTTCCTGGCAGCTTTATGCACAATAACCAATAACTGGAAACAACCCAGATGTCCTTCAGCGGGTGAATGATTAAACTCGCTGATACATCCACACCTTGGACGAATACTCAGAAGCAAAAAAGAACAGCTATGGATACAGGCAACCACCGAGATAGATCTCCAGGGAATTATGCTGAGTGGAAAAAGCCAATCCCACTGGGTTATATACTGTCTGTGTATAACATTCTTGAGATGACAAAACTGTAGCGATGGGGACTAGATTAGTTGCTGCCAGGGTCTAAGGAGTAGGTGGTGAGTGGGAGGGAAGTAAGTGTGGCTATAAAAGGGCAACAGGGGAGATCCTGGTGGTGATGGAAGTTTCTGTATCTTGACTGTATCAGTGTCAAAACCCTAGTTGAGATCTTTAACTATAGCTTTGCAAGACGTTACCATGGAAGGAAACTGGGTAAAGGATACAAAATCTCTCTCTCTACTCTTTCTTGCAACTGCATGTGAATCTGAAATTATCCCACAATAAAAAGTTTAGAAAGATAAATTTATGTTCATTTAGAAAACACACACAAAAAAAAGAAAAGAAAAATCCTCATCCTATCCCCCAGGAATAGACTGTTAGCATTTTGGTGTGTATCTCTCCAGATTTTTCAATGCATATAAATACTTGCCTTAAAAAAATAGCACCGTGCTGCATGTGTAACAACACGTGCTATGGAGTGAATTTTTCTACCATGTTGGTAATTGATCCACGTTGTAAACAGTGCTGTGATGAACATCCCAGTGCCTACATCCCTGTGCTATGTTTCCTTTGGATAAATTGCCACAAGTGGAACTGCAAGGTCCAGCGGTTTACTGGTTTTAGAGGCCTTTGTAACAAATTCTCAAATTTTCCTCCAGAAACATGTTAATTTCTACTTGTAAAATACAGTGTGTTGTAAGTTGACATTTCTGTGGAGACAAAAAGAAGCCTGTACACCTGTCTCTCACTTAACAATAACCCCTGAAAAGCCTGCCCTTTAGGAAAAGCTTTTCAATGAAAAAATTTTTATTAATTTTAGTGTGAAAATTATATATTTAACTCCAAGCCAAGATACCCCCAAATGTTCACAGATACAGAATTACCAAGTGATTGTTTACACAGCTACAAAATTATCAGGTGAACACTGAAATTGAGTTTCTGTAAGTAATAACAATTTTAGAGTAAATAAATACAGTTTGTTCATAAAAGCAGTGCAAGGAAGGTCTGTTGTACCTTTCAAAGAGTGGGATGTGGGCCTCCTGCCTTAGAAAGTGAAGTCTTCTCTCTGCAAACTTTCTTCACTGACTTTACAGCTTTTGAGAGGCTCGTGGTTATATTGCCAAAACTCAGCCTTGGTACCCTGCTTACCGAACTGAGACTCGAGGACAGAGTTTTGGATGAAGTAGAAAATACAGCTTTATTTCTCTGCCAGGTAAAAGAGGTCACAGCAGGCTGATGCCTCCAAGACTGTGAACCCGCTGGGGAGAGAAGGTAGGGGGTTTATACTAAGAGTTCAAGGGGCAGCACTGGTTTCCATAGAGATCACAGACAGGGTAACAATGTGTTGCAAAGTTGTCCTTGTTTTTGTGGATGCAGCAGCCCCCTCTCTTCTACTGGGTACGATGCGCACCTCCAGCTTTGGAACTCTTTTCTAATATTCCTGTGCCTCAAGCAAAGGTGCTTGGGAAAGGGGTCTGTGGAAAAGTGCTCCAGAGAAACACCTGTGCAGTTTAAAGTCAGGCTGATAGATGCTTCTGGCATTTTAGGCAGGCTGAGGCCTAAGACCTCTTGCTGCAGTGTGTGCACAGGCTGGGACAAGAGAATACAAAGAAACCAGGAGGGGCTAAAAATAACTGCCGGCATGCACAGTTAGGGTGAGTTACCAACAAGATGCACAAAACACTCAGCTGCTGTCTCTGAGGTCTGGAGAACAAAATAAGGGGGGTGGGCAGATCAGTGGAGTTCCCTCTCCCTTTCCAGCCCAATCCTGGTCAGCAAAAGCAGGAGAAAACCCTTTAAATTATTATAGAGTTAGGCAGTTACAAATAGCATATGTTCACAGATGACAGTACGGTTCTACTTGGTCACAGTTATCCTGTTCTCAAAATGCACTTCAAATAAAGTTATGGCAGAGGAAATGGTGAGGGTGAAACAGTGGAAGCCAGGCATGCTTCAGTGTCAGAAGCAGCCCCTGTGTCCAAGACTGAAGGGTCCTCAGAGCACCCCTCTCCACCTCCTCGCTCACCTTTAGTCTGCAAATCAAAACGTTTGGGGTTTGTCCCCTGATGCACACCTCAGATTTGTTCCATGTGATACTCTGTTGTGAAAGTGTATGTCAATGACTCGGTGAGCCTGTCTGCCCAACTGGGTCTCTCAATAACAGAAATGTATTCTCTCACAGTTCTGGAGGCTGGAAGGCCAAGGTCAAGGTGTCGGCAGGTTTGGTTTCTTCTGAAGCCTCTCTCCTTGGCTTGCGGGTGGCTGCCTTCTGGCTGTGTCCTCACGTGGCTTTTCTTCTCTGTACCTGCATCCCTGTACATTCAAACGTCTCCTGTTACAAGGATACCAGTCAAATTAGATGGAGGCTCACCCTAACAGACTCATTTTAATCACCTCTTTAAAGGTCCTGTCTCCAAATGCAGTCACATTCTGAGGGACTGGGGAGCGCGGGTTGAGGCTTCAACATACAAATTTGGGGCGGGGTGGGAGGCACAATTCAGCCCGTAACGATTTCTTACAGCGTATTTTGTTAGTGGGTTTGGGGGTGAAATGTCAGTGTACCTAAAAAAGGTTGTCTAACAAATGATATAACTTTTTAAGAGCTATTATGGTAAAAAGTCATTCACAGGCTACTTGGTATCAGATGCAGGTCTGTGTATGTATCTTTATTAGAACTTGCATAGAATATGTTCACAAAATGGTTATAACTGCATCAAGAAAACATAGTGGGTGTCTGGGGACAGTCAGGAGGGTTCACTGTGCACTCTGTTGTATCATTTTAATTTTGTTCCCCAATGTATTAAAACGTATTCTAATAAGGGAATAAAATACTTATTTTAAGACAAGGATGGACTTAAATCCTCTATAACACAGGGACCTGTCTGTCATATTCTCTGCTGGTACCCCTAGCATCACAGAGCCTGGTGCACAGGAGGCCTGCAGTAAGGGTATTGAAAGAACAAATGAATGAATTCCTCTTCTAGTGTCTGGATGCAGGGACCCCGGCCGGCAGCCCCAGTGACCCTCTCCATTTTTCCCCTCTGGTTTGCAGACGGCAGCAGAGACCCCCAGGAGGGAACAAACCCCAGCAGCATGGTGACCACCAGCCGGGCAGTGCCAAACACAACAGGGACCACCAGAAATCCTACCAGGGGGGCTCGGTGCCCCACCCCTCAGGGAGGGCCACTCATCACGGCTACAGCCAGAACCGGCGCTGGCACCACAGCAACATGAAGCATCCACCTGGCGACAAGGGGGAGGCAGGCGCCCACCGCAATGCTAAAGAGACCGTGGCCATGGAGAGCCCCAAACTCGAGGATGCCCTGGGGGACACCGGGCACAGCAGCCTCGAGCGCTCCTGCAGCCCCGATGCCCTGGCCCCAGCGGTTTCCGAGAGGCTGCCCCTGCTGCCGCCAGGGGTTCTGGAAGCCGAGACAAAGCGTAAAGACAGTGTTATTCCCGAGCGCAGCGGGGAGCGGCCCAAAATTACCCTGCTCCAGTCTTCCAAAGACAGGCTGCGGCGAAGGCTGAAAGAAAAGGTACCGGTAATTGAATTTTCCTTGTTCTCTGGCATCAGGGAGGACAGTGCGAGGTAGGTGGGCTCGGGTTTGCGGGCCTGGGGAACCCTGTGGAGGGAAGGGAAGGAATCACACGGGGACCCAGCACACATGGTCACCACTGCTTTAGGGACCCCCAGCCACCAGAGGGCAGGCCTGTGGCCAGTTCTGCATGTGAATCCCCTCCAGTACATTCTACCCCCTAAGAGGCCCAGGTGGATGCTTGGTACCAGCCCCCAGCCTGAGAGGGGAGGGGAAGAAGAGGCGTGTGCCTCGGAGTGATGGGAGGCATGCAGGGAAAGCCTGGTTCTTCCCTCCAGCATTGTCTGGGGTCAGATACTGCCCTGTTTGTGCTAAAGGGCATCTGGGGACAACACAGAGCCTCTAAGAGTGCTTCTCCCAGAGGTGAGTACTGGCCAGGCTGCACTCCCTGCCAGGGTCCAGAGCAAAGGTGAGTTGGGCAGAGTGTGAGCAGGCTGACCTCATCTTTGCCACTAACCCCCTCCATCAACCAGCTGCTCTGCGAGGGGTCCAAGGGACAACATTTAAGGAGGCACTCACTCTCAGCATCAAACAGGGGCCAATCCTGCACTGGCATAGCCCTGAGAATGAGGGCCTCCTTAAATTTTGCTCCCTAGGAGCCTCTTATTCCTCACCCTACTCCTGGCCCTGGTCTCTAGAGCCTGGTTCACAAATTAAGGAAGAGATGCCCCAAGCCTCCGGAGAAGGGCGGGGGCTCTGTCCCTGGCAGCATTAAGTCCACCTGCTCACACTAGCGCCCTGTCCCCAGCCAGGGGTGCAGGTAAGATCACCTGGGAGAGGAACTGCTCCCAAGAAAGGCCAACTTGCCCCCAGCTTTCCTCCGTGGAGTCCTCCTTCTGGGACTTGCGCGGAGCTCAAAATTCCAGGCTTCTCTCCAGCCTCTCTCTACGGCCTTCTCTCCTCCTCCTTCCGTCCCCAAGGCCAGGCCCAGGTCCACACTCACGCAGGAGAAGGCAGGTCAGACCTCTTCCCTGATCAGTTCTTGAAGCTGACATGTTGCTCCTGGCATCCTTCAGGGCCCTGAGCCCCCACCACCATTCCCAGTGAGGCAGGCAGCTGAGAGGTCCTGGAGGAAAGCCTCATTCATTCCCTTACATCCCGAAGGTGGGAGCCTGGGAGAGGTTCCCAAGTGATGACCAGTGTGTGGTCTTTGCCTGAAATCCTTCCAGGACAGATTGCTGCAGCCCAGCCAGGGAGAGAGGATTGTTAACTAAGTTCTCTCCGGTTCTATTAAATGTAACCTCAGTGCCACTAAGGGGAAATGACACCGGCTTTAGAGTCTAGTAAACCAGCTCAGTCCTCACTCTGCCTTTGACTGGCTCAGTGGCCAAGCCAATCACCAACTTCTCTGAGCCCCAGTTCACCCATCTGTAAAATGGGTCTAATGCTACCCACCTTGAATATGCTAGCCACCTTGGAGACGGACTGAAGATCAAATGTCATAACCTGTGTGAAGACCCTCAGTGGGTGGTTATACTACAAACAGACCACTGTTCCTGCCCTGGGGTCCACATGGTTGGGGTGGGGCGAGCAGGAGGAGGCAGAGCAGATAAGGTCGAGCCATAGCACCTGTATTTCGGCTTCACGGACTCCCAGACCAGGAGGACATGGGCTTAGGCACTGGCAGAGCTCAGGGTAACCTCTCGACTATCTAATCTAACCTCCTCGTGTTACCAGGGAGGAAACTTAGGCCCAGAGAATGAAACCACTTCCCACAGCCGTCCAGCTAGAGACAGACAGCAGGTTCCGGAACTCCGGTCCGAGCCTCCCAGCCCAGGAGCCTCTCTTTGTTGAGGACAGAAGGGCAAACATGGGCCCTCACCATATGTCCCCGCCCCTGCCCCGCCCGCCTGCTCTCACATCCCGGCAGTTAAGTCACTCTTGCTCTTGGCCACCGATCCACTGTGTTTGAATAAATACCTTTGAGACGATCTGATACCCATTTTCTTTCTCCTCCAGCCCAGGTCTGGTCCCAATTGTAGTGAAACCTCTTAAGGGTGTCGGGTATTTTTTGTGAAATTTCCCTCCCAGACGAGCCAGTTCTCTGAGTGTCCTTGAGTGGCACACTGGAGAATTCCTTTGTGTGTTGTACTTGTTGTGAGAAGCCAGCGCAATCTCCATAGGACACAATGCCCACAGGGATCCCTGTACCCCAAGAACATGATGGTCCTTGGGCCGAGGGAGCCGAGGACCTACAGGACAAGGCAGCCTCTCCACGGGCACCGTTAGCAACACAGCAGGGGATGCCACCCCCTTCCTGACCTCATCTTCCTACGCTTGTTTTCTCTTTGGCCCAGTGTTTTACCTGGTACTTTATCTCACCTTTTACAAGCCCCATGAAATCGCTTGTAGATTGAGACATTTGATGGACAAATAGACAGACAAAGCCAGTGTGTATGAGAATCCTGGGTAAGAAGTGTATCTCACAAGGATCCACCCAGGATGCCCCAGGGACCAAGAAAAAGGTCAACAGAGAGCCTGGAGCCTGAGGGTTCTTGGTGGAGTTCGGCATTCCTTGGGGGATCAGACCTCATGTTCTAGAAAGTGGGGGCAGGTCCTTTCTGGGGGTGGCAGCCCTCCCTCCACTGGCCGCCCCTCCGCAGAAGCCTGGGTTCCCCTCAGGCGCCACTCGGCGTGTCTCCCATGCCCCCAGGATGAAGTGGCCGAGGAGACCACCAACCCTCAGCAGAACAAGATGGACAAGTTGATTGAGATCCTGAACAGCATGCGGAACAACAGCAGCGACGTGGATGCCAAGCTCACCACCTTCATGGAGGAGGCCCAGAACTCGACCAACTCCGAGGAGATGCTGGGGGAGATCGTCCGCACCATCTACCAGAAGGCTGTGTCCGACCGCAGCTTCGCCTTCACTGCGGCCAAGCTCTGCGACAAGATGGCGCTCTTCATGGTGGAGGGGACCAAGTTCCGGAGCCTGCTCCTCAACATGCTTCAGGTAACAGGCGCCGACAGCTGCGCCGCCCGCCTGCCCGCCGCTGGGTTATTACTAGAGAGAAGGCTGCAGATCCTGACCACACTTGAACTTTTCCCGAGTTCCACCCTTGCCCGATTAATTATAGAAAATAAAAAGGCACTCAAGGGGCAAGGGCTGAGTGGCCGGATTTGTGTGTGTTTGTGTGAGTGCTCCATGGTTACAATGGACCAATATAATTTTATAGGTGCTTCATGTTTAACCAGCCTTTCCCTCTTTCTATTTCCATGATAAGAGGGCTGGCTTTTGTCTTAACCAGGCTCTGTGCTTTGACCTCTCCGTGTCCCAGCAGACGCACTCTTGCTGTGGATTTCTTGTTTTAACTCTTCCTCTTCCCCAGGACCACCCCCCCAGGCCCTGCAGGTGGTGTGTTGGTTGTAGTTGCAGGTGGTGTCGAGATGGGTCTGAGCAGAAGGCGTGAGGGCTTTGAGTAGGAAAGCTTTGGTCTGTCTGCCGTTGCGCTGGGGTTCCTGAAACCACTCTTAGGGCCAAGGGGAAGCATGGAGATCGAAGACCATCTTGTTCCTTGGTGCCTTTGCACTCAAAATCCTTCCACCCTCAGAGAGCTTAATTCCGTCCCTCCTCGTTCCTCCCTTCGCGGGTGCCGGCGTCCAGCGATGGTTTTACTGGGGTATGTCATGGGCATGGACGTGGACGTGGGCACTTTGGCCAAGCCCAGCTCTGTTTGACATCACAGGTGGGGAGCTGGGGGCCAGTACCTGCTCTTCTGTCATGGGTGGTAGCATGTGGACTGGTGGTCCCAGAACTGGTTGGCGTCAGGGAGAGGTAGCAGGTGCACAGCGTGGCAGTCATGCCAGGCCCTGGGACTATCCTTGGAGACTCTTGGCTGGGGAAAAGTCATCTGTACCTTAAACTAGTTGAGATATGAATTGAGTTCCAGCCCAGTTAAGGTAAATTAGTAGCTTGAAAGTTCTGGAAGTAGAATGACTGATCCGGGAGAGATCACCTGCTAGTCTGTCTTAACAAGGGTGATCATACAATGGGTCATGAACCACGACACTTCTGAGAGTCAGAGGGCCTCTGTTCATAGTCAGGCCTAGACCCTGGTGTGAACCAGGGTATATGGTCACTCTGGTCTTAGCCACCGGGTTCAAAGTCTGCTGTCTCTTCCCTGAGACCAGGGAGGGAGGAGCCCCCTCCGCAGGCTGCCCATGGGCTCCATCCCCACCGTCCTCTCCTCTTCCCAGGGAGACCGCTCACTGCAACCTGATCCTTGCTGGCCAGCCCGGGCTGCTTCTGTCCAGCTCCAGGCCCTGATCAGGTTCCCATTCCTGGATCGCCCACGCTCCCCGGTGACGAATTCCCGCATTACCTGAGGGATTTGCACATTGGGCATGTTCCTCGCGGGCCGGAATGTCCTCGGAGAGTGTGGAGGGTGACGGTGGGGAGCAGCCTGTCTGCCACGTACCACCAGGCACCAGGGAGTCCGGGACGGATCGGCCTTTGGCCTGGGCTTTTGTCAAGAGAAGGGCTAGGATAGGGCAAGACTTCTAGACAGTGGCTGCCAGCTCCAAGCAACCTCGCCAGGACCGGTGGCGGACAGTCACACAGGGCGTGGGGTGGGATGCACCCAGCCTGGAAGGGCAACTGGCTGTAGGGGCTGCCCAAGATCCTGCCCGGCTCAGGCCTCTCTTCCAATGACCTGTGGTTAGAGTAGTCTTGCCCACAGTGTCCGGCAGAGCATCAGTCCTGGGAAACGCTCGGCCACAAACGGAGCTCCATGGCCCATGCACCCGCCTCTCCATTAGCCACAAAGTGGGCTGGCTGAGGCCGGCAGGAAGGGGAGCTGCTTGGCTGCATCGAACGCAGTGAAGTGCCCGTTGTGTCCCCCAGCTAATGACTTCTTGTGGAATTAGTGTGCTGAGACACACGGTTTGGCAAACACGAGTGCAGGGAAGAGCACTAAATGAAAGTCAGGAAACAGGGCTTCTCAGCCTGGTGTGGCCGTCAGCTGGAGCCTGGGCTCTGCAGCTCCTGCCAGGAGAGTGCTCGGCTGCTCGACACTCGTCAGTGGACCTGATGGGCCTGCACTCCTGGAGATAAGTCAGGGGCCTCGGAGAGGGGCGTGATGTGCCCACCTGAGCTGCTGCTTCTCTTATTCTCTCCTGGCCCTGCTATTGGCATGAAACAGTCCTGAGTCCCCCTAATCCTCAGAAACCTGCTTACCCCATTCCAGGGCTCAGGGCTCAGTGATAGGTCTGTCATGTGTGACGGGCTTTGGGGGCCAGCCCAAGAGACCCACTGCATCTCTGGGGCAGAGGGGAACTGTCACTTCCTATCTGCCATTTGTCTGGGTGGAGCGTTTGTGGGTCGGATATTTAGAAACCTGAGTGTCCCCTAGGCCCCGCCTTTCATCCCCCGCAGCCCAGCTTAAGAGTAAGAGGGATCCCATTGAAGGATATAACCAGAGGGCTGGAGCTGGACACTCAGGCCTCCTAGGTCGCTGTTCAAGGTCCTTTGGCTCCCTTAGAAGGCAGGCTGGATGTGCTGGCGTGAGGCTGCCCTGAGGTCCTTTGTAGACCCCCAGTTAGGAGGCCCAGAGGAAGCCAACACCACACGTCTGCCGGGGCCTCCTCAGGCCCTGCTCCTCTGCAGCTGAGGAGTTGGCGGGTTGGAGTAGGCTTTCCAGGCAGCAGAATGCATGACCACTCAACACCCCAGACCCACAAGGTTCCAGAGAAGAGAGCAGTGAGCACAGCTCAGCTTCTGACCCACAGGGATGGCTGTTTTCACCTGCTATTATTTTCTGGCAAACCTGATTTTTATCCCTTTCCTGGCAGACAGTCCCGGGAGCAGCCTTCAGAGCCTCCCCCCTCCCCCCGCCCCCACATTCTCCCTCTGAGGTTCACACTCAGCTCCATCCACTCAAGGCCCACTGCCTCTGGATCCCCAGCCAGCCCCTGATTCAGTTTGGCAGCCTCTGAGACGCCCCTCACATGGCCAGGTTTCGCCGCTGCCTCCACGTATAAGTCCTGAGGCCCGACTTAGTGATGCTGGCTGCAGCGCGGACGGGGTGTGAAGTGCCCTTTGAACACAGCTCCCAGCAGCTGTCTTTGGATGTTGCCCTCCTTGGCCAACACCGCTTTCACTGCCTCGGCTTCGGCGGTGGGAGCGGCAGCACGGGAGGAGAGGGGCCGGTTCTGCTGTTGGTGGTCACTCTTAAGCACAGTGTGAGGGCTGCTTGCCAAGCTGGGATGCAGCCTCCATGGAGAGGGAGGTGGGCCCAGGGGGAGGTCAAAGGACCTTTAACCCTTCCCAGCCAGACTCAGCATTGTCATCCCAAGAAACCTAGAAGCATTGACCTGTGAGCCATAACAATGCCAAGACTTTGCCGTCTTGTCACCAATCCCACAGTTCAAAATCGTCTTCAAGCTTTACATCTAAACTGAGTCTTTTTGCCCTAAATGTGGTCATTTTCTTGGTAGTGTTCTTGTAAATAAAATTTTACTTATTAAACAGACATTTCTTAAATGTCTGTTACATGCCAGGCGTGTAGTCTTCATGACATCAGTGCTTCTCAAACCTGAATGTGTGTTTGAAACACATGGCATTTCATTTAAACACAGGTTCTGCTTCAGGAGATCTGGGTGGAACCTGAGATGCTGCATTTCTAACACGCTCCCAGGTGCTGGTGCTGCCGGCTCTGGGCCACACTTTGAGTAGTCAGACATTGGATGGCTGATGGGTCATAGGTGATGGGCCAGTTTCATAGACAGGCTGACTGAGGCACATTCTTTTACTGATGTGAGGTCAGAAGTGGTGGTCCATCCTGAGAGTATTGAGTTCCAGCCACCAGATTTTCTTTAGGATGGTGGTTCTCAGCCTAGCTGTCCATTAGAATCTCACTGGGAAACGATTTTAAAATATACCAGCGCAGGGGCTCTCCCCCAGACCAACTGGATTAGACCCTCCAGGGATGGGCCTGGGCATACTTTTTAAAAAGACTTTCTGGCTAATTATATGGTGCAGTAGGTTGAGCACAACTGCTAGGAAGATACTCCAGAGATGCCCCACTGTGCCGCCGTTGTCACTTATGAACCAGCTGACCCTGCCTTTCACCCCATTAATCAGCCAAGAAGTGGGTACCAGGTCCTGGACTCTCTGCTGAGTGATGTGGGGGATTCCGAGCCTGAGCTGGTCGGAGAACAGCAAAGCAAGCGAGACCTTCCCTTCACCTTGCCCGACCTCAGTTTCCCCTCTGTGCAGTCAGGAGGGTGGGCTGGACCATCTCAGCAGACCTTCCTCATGCACCTTGCTGTTCTGAGATTTCCCCTCAGACACCTCCACACTAACTGAGTCAGCCAGGTGGGGGCCAGAGCTGCCTCTCCTCTTCCACTGGCCCCATTTCTCTCTGCTCTCAACTTCTTTCCCCGGATCCTTTTCCTTTTTCTTGGCCTCAGCCATTGGTCAGAGCAGCTATCACATGTTTAAGGGAAAGGGCTTCACTCTCAACCCACGTTGCCAGGCTGGGCCCCCCGCAAAGCTGAGGAGGTGATTCGTTTCCCTGCCCAGCCTGCCTCACCCCACCCCTTCCCACTCTGCTCCCAGCTGCATGTTTGCAGGGTCCGACACCCACCAGAGTATGTGAACTGATGGATTCTGACTTGCAGGAGAATGTGGGCTGCCCACGGCCCCTGGGTTACAGAAGTCACTAAAACTCTGCCTTGATCCTCTCCAGGGAATTGTGCAGCGGTGGGAGGGAAGGGGGCTCTGGTTTCACAGAGAGGTGAAGAATGAGCGTGCCTCTTTTTATGGGACCTTTGGAATGACAGGAATTGGAGGCCTGAGCCCCCTCCGCCCAGCGCTGCCCCGTCACCACCCGGGCCTTCCACTTGGGCTCAGGGAGTGCTCCTCTGCCGAGATATGCTTGGGTAGAATAAGTTCAAGCCCTCCTCTGTTGAAATGTGTGTGCCCTGTTTAGCCGAGAGGTGTCTGCATCTGAG